TGAATATATGCTGTTTGCTTGGTGGTTTTCCTGTGTCATTGTGAATTAATGTTTTAGATTTCTGTGTGTTTTCTATGAAATTAGATACACTTGTTCCAGTAACTTCAGTTCAACTTGGAGAAACTGTAACCATCCCATGTCAACTGCCTGTGTAAAGAAGTCCACTGGTACAAGCAGAGTGCCGGGGACACCCTGAAAGTAATTTGGACAATGAGGGAATCTGAAACACCTGAGTTTGCGCCTGAGTTTAATAACTCTAGATTGAAGGTAAATCATAATAAACACTTTAACAACCTGACCATTTTGAAGACAAATCAAGAGGACGAGGGAATCTATCACTGTGGATTCACAGAATGGCGTAAGAATACTGAATGGACCGGGACGTATTTGTTAGTAAAAGGTAACGATGTGCTCTACTTTCATGGGGTTTTGCCACATGCTTCAGTCTGTAAAATTGTACAGTATAAATTATAACAACAGCTTATTAATTGTCAAAAGCATGATCAGAAAACAGTTAATATACTCATACAAATGTATTTTAATTTACATTTAATTTACATTTTATAGACACAGTACATGAATCCTTTACTTTGTGCTTTGTTAACACATTTTTATTAAACAGGAAACACCCAGAGAACGTCAAACTACACTTTTGTTAAGGAGAAAGTCCATCCAGGAGACTCTGTGACTCTTCAGTGTTCAGTCCTCTCCAGCTCTAACAGAAAGACGTGTCCAGGAGGTCACAGTGTGTTCTGGTTCAGGGAAGCAAATACATCTCATCCTGGCATCATCTACACCGATGGAAACAGACATCATGAATGTGAGAAAAGATCTGAGACTGAGCTGAGTTGTGTTTATCGCTTGTCTAAGAACATCAGCTCCTCTGATTCTGGGACTTACTACTGTGCTGTGGCCACATGTGGAGAAATGTTATTTGGAAATGGAACAAAACTGGACAGTCGAGGTACCTGTGATCACATTAATGAATGATAATATTCTCCAGTCCAGAACATCAGTCTATAGTTTGAATATTAAATATTGACTCACTTTGGTTTTACATTAACAGTAATCTAATCTGAAGGTGATATTAAACACAATTTAGTTTTTGTCCAACATAACTTGATTTTTTACTTTTAATATTGTTTCAGAAACCAGAGTGTGGTCACAGACGGGCAGCAGCATCATTTTTCTTCTGTGCACTGTCTTGGCTATAAGTCTGATTGTTATAGTCGCTCTCATTTGGATGATCAAGAAAAACAGTGATCCCTGCAGAGGTAATTCAAATTGCATTTTTTCTCTATGAAAAAGAACCACATAAATCTTACATGTATATTAATTGTTAGCTGTATTTTCTATATTCAAGCTGATATCCAGAGGAAATATTTTACTGATCAGAAGAAACAAGAGGTAAAGAACTTTTTGAGCTTTTTGTTTTTTCTAATATTTTGAGATTTCTAATACATTATATTTACTCTG